TTTCTTGCAAGAAATCACGGAGATTGGATACGCCTAGGGTGCTGGGTGTCAACTATAGTTAGGAAACATTAAGGTCGCCTCAAGGCATCCGCAATGTGACCGCAAGTACAGTTCTTCGGAAACAGCAAATCGATTGCTATTGCAGCGGCACTTTGCCGATGCAAGTCGGTCAGCCTCGGAACATTTTGCCCACACGCCCAACAATGCGAGAAGATGTTGCCCTATGTGATCCTTAAGTGATTCTCTCATGGGCCGGTACAGTGCGTGCCATCAGGGCTTGATGTGGCGCACACCGCCACATCGGGCATCATATGATTGACACCATCATTAGCAGAAAAAGGACCAAATAGCACTTTTCGTGAGAACATATGTACGCATTTCATCAGTGTTCTGCACGCTCAAAACACGAAAATAACCCAAACCCGTAAGCTTTTTACACATTTGGACACGTGTTGTTTGGCTCCTTTTTCCTTAGTGCATGGGGCGCGTGCGTGGTACCAGACCATTCACATCTTGAGAACATGGCCTGCATGCATGGCTCTCAACTGGTTCCGTAGCACAATTCATGGCCTTGGTCAAGGTCGTCCTTTCTGAAGCGAGAAGCGTCGGCAACCGGGCCGCCGTCGGGTGTGTGAGGCCGTATCGTCGTCTTCTTTAGGGACTACCACCTCTCAGCGGTGCTTCTTTGGCCGCTGCATGCTGAGGGCTAATCCGTCAGTGAAATGCCGAGGAACAGCAGTAGCCAACACTAGGAAAAAGGTCCAAATAACGCGTGTTCAAACATGTGCTAAGTTACGGGTTTGTGTTGTCTTCGTAGTTCTAACATGCAGAACACTGATGAAATGCGTACATATGTGTTCGCAAAAAGTGCTGCTTAATTCCTTTTTTGCTAGTGCAAGTTCTGTGTAGCATTGAGGCGAAAATCGCATCAGGCTGCATGATCTTCATTGGGGTAAAAGGGTGGCAGTGACGCAAAAAATCTGAAGCAATTGTTGCTTGCGATGTGCTCACAAGCAAGAGTCCCCTCGTTGTAGACAAGCGTCAGTTGCGTATGTTCGCTTTTTCTTTTGACACTTCTGTTTAGCTGAACTGCACAGCTTCATCTTGCCGCAATACAATCCTGTAGTGCGCTTAAATGCGTGCTTCCTTCTTTCAGGGAGCGCATCGCCAACACGTTGCTTCTCAATCTCTCTCCTATTCTAACGGCTACCGATCAGCGGTGCAATTTATTCAAGGATTCCTATTTGTTATATGTACTACTCGCTCTTTTCTTATGTCTCAAGCAAGCGATATATAATTTACTTTATGTATTTTACAAAAGGCATATTGCTCAATTGCTTATTCAGCTTGCAAAGACGATTCTTCTGCCACGCATGGCACATGCATTTCTGTTGGACACCATCAGATCAACCTCCACTAGGAAAAAAAGGGCAAAATAACACGTGTTCAACCGTGTACAAAGTTTACGGGTTTGCGTTATTTTTGTGTTCTGAGCGTGCAGAACTTTGATGAAATGTGTTTTATGCGTGTTCGCAAATGTGTTATTTGGCCCTTTTTTCCCTAGTGCTCATTGCAGACCACCCTCCACATTCGCCTCGAGAAGCGCGCTCGTCGCCCCCATTGTTGCATTGCTGTGGCAGTTATACTCCTGTATGCTTCCGCAGATGAGCGCCTATCAGTTGCTACCGACAGATCTATTTCTGGATGTGAGACAAATCCCATTCGGACATTGCCACAGCACATCCAGTACAAGTCGTCCGTCGTTCTATCCGGATAAGGACGACGGACGACGGATCCGTTCTTGGAGCATTCAATATGAATGTTCACCGCACGCCGAATATGCCTATATGTAAGAACGTTAATATGCTATTTGGGCAAAACAGTGCTCGCATCCACGCAGCGGCATGATACGGAGGGAACACGGAAGGCTGGGACTCACTGGGCTTGGGTCATCCTGATGGCCCAGGTTGCCAGTTATGTTAACTACTGGCACTGTCCACTGGCACACTGCGCTGCTTCACTTAGCTTTGTCAAGAGTTGAAGTGGCAGTGCCTTTTTTCTGTTCTTCTGTCGGAACCGTTGAAATGGGGCATGAGGCCAGTACATTGCATTGCATGCGCGAAGTTAAGGGCTGTCCTGTAAAGGGCGTTAAACTTGCTCAAGTGGGGCTTTCGCTGCAACAACACCGCTATGCTTAGGACTTCATGGACTTAGTAGTCGCACTGTGCACCAATTGAACAGACATGGAAGCGCAAGAAAGCAGGACAAAAGGATAGGCTCAAATAGTTGAATTCAGCCTGCAGCACGCTGGAGTCAAAATGGCACCGGATGTTCTTTCTCGTTTCAAGCCAAAAGGGAAACTACACCAGGTACCTCGAATCCAACCAATCACGGCAACCGCCTTCCCTGGCGTCCTTATGGGGTTCAATGGGCACTCGCTCTCGCAGCCCCGAAGCCACCGGCGCTGATAGACATATAATTATATTTGTAAATATCCGAGCCGCCGCAGCATGCGTGACCCACTGGTCGTTCGCAAGGTCCGCTTTGCAATGCATCGATTATTGTTGTGCGCACGCAAACCTGCCCTCCTCCGCTGGGCCCCAGTCACACCGTGGCCTCTGGGCAACCATATCTATATACTGCCGAGTCCCAAGAGGAGCAGCGCGTACTCTGGCCAGAACTGCCCCGAGGTTGGCCCGCCATTGCACGTGCCGTCTGACTCGCCAGGCGTCTTTGTCCACACCAGCCCGTGCAGTTGGCAGGGCCAGTCCGCCGAGGGCGTCAGCGTAGGGTCCTTGCCGATCCGCAGCGACGGAACGTTGCACCAAGCGTTGTCAGGGGAAGGACCCGCGCCGTTCCTACCGACGTCGATGGTGTACCCCTTCTTCATGCCCAGGGCTGCGTTGATCTTCTCGGCGTAGACAATCGTCTCCTCAGTGGTCCTCGAGTTGGCGGTGTTCAGCGCAAACCCTGCGGCGCCCTCGATGCCCACAAGCTTCAGCCTCCGCGCCACCTCCTCCGGAGCGTGCCACGCCGCATGGCCGGAATCGATGTAAACATATCCGCCAGCGGCCGTCAAAGTCTCGACGGCGTAACGCAGCATCTGATTCCTGTCGTCCACCTGCGACGCCGTGAGGCACTCCTGGTAGGGCAGGGCGTCTGGCTCGAGAGTGACGATGCCACTGCCACCCCAGAGCTGATCGGCCACACGGTCGATCCACCTCTTGTAGTCGTCGATCGCAGCCGCGCCCCCCGCAGAATAGGAGCCGCAGTCTCGCAGGGGAATATAATATGGCACAATGTGGTACATCGCGCCCTGGGCCTCAGTCTCCACTCTGGCCCTCGTGGGACGCTCGTTGACATCATCGGACCCCGTTATCCACAGGGGCGTCGGCTTGGAGGCTATCCCCGCTCGAAGGGCGTCCATCTGGGGGCCGCTCTTACCCTCCAGGTAATAGTCGATCGACTGCTTGTACTTGGGCAGTTTCTGGCCGGCGAACGGGTTGCAGACGCCGTCAACTGAAGAAGGCGGCAGATTGCCCGTCGGCACGTCCCCGGGGCTGGGGGAAGGCACCGTGGGCTCAGGAACCGTGGGCTTTGGCACCGTGGGCTCTGGCATGTTTGGTGACGGCACCTGCGGCTGAACGGGGCTCGCCGCTCCCCCAGGGCACCAAATTCCGCTGCACTGCCCGCACTGCTGCTCGCTCTTCGCGCACCAGTTGCTGGCATCAGCGGGGCTGTCGCACCGGCCGCACCAGTCGCTCGCGCTCGACCAGAAGCAGCACATGCCCGATTGGACGGATTCCTCGACGACTTGGACCTCCGGCAGAGGATCCCCAGGAAAGGGATTAACCGGAGGCAGCTCTGTAGCTGGAGGCCTCTGCGTCTCCTCTGTCACATCGGGGCACCAGTCGCCCCCACAATGTCCACATTGGTCCTCGGACGCCCCGCACCACTCCTCGCGCCCAACTCCGTCCGGGCAAGGGCCGCCGCACTCGCCCCACAAGCAGCAAGTCATGCCCTCCTGCGCCACCGCCACCGACAGCCCTGCGAGCACCGCCAGCCCGGCAAGAGCCGCTACGCGCGCCATGGTGCAAGTGCGGCGACCCCAGTCCCCTATGCTGATGGTTTTGTCGCCCTTTAGTGCATTCAGGATCACGTCACCAACGCGAGGGCATGTTGGCCGATGTGCAGCGGCAAGACGTGTCGCATTTTGATTCGGAAGAAACCGCAAACGCAGATCGGTACCCGGTGCCAGTTGGGTGTCAACGAGGGCATTCCCAACGCGACCGCTAGCAGCGTTCCTCGTAAACATGTCACGGATTATTAATGAACTCGGCGGTACAGCGATGAACCACAGGCACCACGCAACGCGACCGCCATCACGGTTCCTCGGAAACATTTCATGCATTATTGATGGATGGCGGTACAGCGCTGAGCGCACCAAAACTCTTGGATCGAGCATGTCTGATGACATGCAGCCATGACGCAGCCACCACGCGACGACTACGTGTTCTTTCCCGTCCCAACCCTCGCCTGCCCAATGCGTACCGCCCGGCCTCGGCATTCACCTGACAGATCGGGCATCATCATGTGTGGCTCGCGGCCCACCTGTGCGACTGGGGCGCCCCACCCCCATAATGCCCACAGGCCCATGATGTGACGTGTGCGCTGGCCGTGCCCCCTCGGCAGGGTCCCCCTCAGCTGTGAGGGGCGTGAAAACGGCTTGACAGCCATGGACGGGCGTAGAACCGCCAGAGCCATGTTCCAGAGATGCCATATGTCATGCACTTCAACGCCCGCAGGAGCCCGCGTTGGAGCACCGGGTTGCATCAACGCGCCCACGTGGTGGGCCGACTCGCACACGGCTCCTCGTACCTGCGCTTTGATCCTCGCAAGATGCGCGCGAGGTGGCGACTACATAACTGGGGAGTGCAGGTGTTGGGGGCCACCCGAGGAGGACGCCCCAGAGGACAGGGAGAGGAAGGGAGGAAGGAAGCATGGCTCGGTCCGTGGCCGCCGCCCGCGTAGCGCTCTTGCTGCTCGCCGGGGCGCTAGCGATCGCATCTGCGCAGGACAAGCCCTGTTGTTTCTATGGCGGCTGCGGGGGCTGCCTGGAAGGGGTTGGAGACGAGCATTGGTGCGGCGCGTCCGAGGATCGGTGCCGGCAGTGCTCGGGGGACTGGTGCCTTGCAGGGGCCGGCGTGGACCCCTTCGCGGATCAGTCGGTGCCGAAGCCCGTGACAAGCGGGCCCGCGTCATGCTGCTACTACTCCCCCAGCGGCGACATGTGCGGCGACTGCCAGAGCAAGGCCACGGGGTCGGAGTGGTGCGCGCAGAGCGAGTCGCAATGCCGCCAGTGCAGCGGGACATGGTGTAGCGGAGGGCCCAAGGTGCCGGACGCCCCTGTGCCGTCACCGAATCCCCCATCGGCCTCTCCGCAGCCCCCGTCGCCCTCTCCGCTGCCTCCGTCGCCGACCCCTGATCCCAGGCCACCCGCCAACAACGTGCCGCCCCCGCCTGGCAACCCCTTCGTCGGCAAGCCGATGTACATCAACCCCACCTTCAGCGAAAACATCGCCTCAAGCATCGCGACCGCGGCGCCGGGCCTGGAGCAGGACAACCTGAAGGTCATGGCGGGAGTGCCCAGCGCCTACTGGCTGGACACGATGGCCAAGGTGGTGCCCACGGACGACGCGACCACGCTCACGGCGGCCGGCATCCTGAAGGACGCGTCGACCCAGTCGCCCGTGCCGCTGGTCACCCTGATTGTGTACGACCTGCCGAACCGCGACTGCCACGCCAAGGCCAGCAACGGCGAAATCTGCTGCGGGGGCGTCACGCCGGAGGGGCCCTGCGACTACCTGGACCCAGCTTCCAAACTGCTCACTGGCCAGCGGCAACAGGGACGACCCCAAGTGCGGATCCAGGGCCACGGAGACCGCCTACAAGGAGGGCATCGCCTACGCCATCAAGACGCTCAACGCAGCGTGCCCAGAGGCGGTGCAGTACCTCGACGGCGCCCACGGCGGCTGGCTGGGCTGGGAGAACAACGCGGCCGCGTTCGCCGAGGACGTCGGGTCCCTGGGAGTCGCCCACCTCCTCCGCGGCTTCAGCCAGAACGTCGCCAAGTGAGTGTGTCGAGCGCCGCTTTTCTTCATGAAAACTGTTTGCCCAAAGCTACCCTAGCCCCCCTTCGTTGTGCCGCGTGCTTTGTTAGGGACCGGGAAAATATTCCCAGGGCTCTGCTCCGCTGCATTCTCGCGCTGGCTGCTCTGACATCAGCCAAAACATCGCCAACTGAGTGTCGAGCGTCGGTTTCCGTCGCGAAAGTGTTTGTCCATTGTTCTGTCCCGTGCTCCGTGTGCTGTGTTAACCAACCGGGAAGGATTTCCCGGGTTGTGTGACCATGCATTCGCACGCTGGCCGCTCTGGCGCCAGCCAAACGTCGCCAAGAGAGTGTCCAACCCTGGATAGGTTGCAGCCTTCCTGAAACCTTCCGCTCCTCTCTTGTTGCGCAGCATCCAGGAGCTCGGGCTGGCGTGCCCGCAGGCGGGCTGGTGCGTGGGCGGCAAGAACCAGGGCGACCCCTGCTGCGCCGACCCCTGCGGCATCTCCGCCGAGTACAACCCAGGCCACAACGAGCTCAACTACGCGGTGGTCCTGCACGACGCCATGGTCAAGGCCATCCCCGGCTTCGACCCCCACATGATCATCGACACTGGGCGCAACGCCAGGAGCCCCCGGACCGACTGCGGGAACTGGTGCAACGCCAGGGACGCTGGCACCGGTGTGCTGCCCACCACCGCCACCGCGATCCCAGACATCATCGATGCCTACCTGTGGCTCAAGACGCCCGGCGAGAGCGACGGCTGCACGGAGGTCCTTCCCACCGGCGAGTTCTGCCCCCGCTTCGACCTCTTCTGCGGATCCGTGGACAGCATTGGGTCGCGTCCCGGTGAGCCACGCGCCCCGGAGGCCGGCGACTGGTTCGACTATCAGGTCAAGATGCTGGCGCGCAACGCCAAGTTCCAGTGAAGCCAGGCCGCGCTTCCTTGACCGGCCCTGGGCTGTGGGAATAACTACGAACATATCTATTTGCATGATAGTTAACTCGTGCCCTCGGGAACTGGTGCTGCCTTGGGTGGACGTCGGCATAAACGGTGCTTGTGGCATCTTTGCCCTCTGTGGCCCCCTGGGCTGGGGGACGCGACAGCCAGCGGGGGCTGTGTGTTCACGGGTGGTGACCAGAGGGGTTTTGGAGCTTGAGTTGTTGTGGAGAACTCTGGCTGGACGATGAACACGGCTTGGCCCGCAGCAAAGATCTGGGTAGGGGATTCTTTTGAAGGTGGTTCATTTTAAGGAACTCGTTCCCAAGTCCCCACCTGATCGCCACGGCTCTATAGCACTTCGTGCGTGCGCCCCGAGGCCGGAAAACGAGCCGCACGCGCCTCGCCGCACTGAATCGCAGGGCATTTTGCTGGCCGATGCGAGCTCGTGCTGGAGGCGGCGCGTGTGCTACCACGGAACTCCATTGGCGCTTTCAACACAGCATGGCAGACAGCGCCCGGCTCCCGTCTGCGTCCCCGCGAGACACTCTCTCGATCGTGAGCTTCCGCGCTCCGGCTGTCCACTTCCTTCCAACGCTGTTATCCTTGTGACACGCGGCGGGCATGCTCCACGGTTGTGGGCAGGCGTCCTCTCCCAAGCGACGGGCGCGACGAGCTCCGCCACCGCGAACCGTCGACTGTTGACGCGTCGACGAGTCGATGTTCGAACGACGTCGCGTGTCGCAAGGTGGTGTCTTCCATGAGCGGCGTGCTGCTCGGAATGTTCCCATGGGGGCGACGTGGCCAACAGTGTCGCTGAAGCCGTCCTGCTCCAACACACTAGGAAGAAAAGGGCCAAATAACACTTTTGCGAACACACACAAAACACATTTCATCAAAGTTCCCCACGCTAAGAACACAAAATAACACAAACCCGTAAACTTTGTACACATTTGAACACGTGTTATTTGGCCCTTTTTTTTCCTAGTGAACATATGTTTGAAACAATGTCTGACAAATCTGGATAGAACGTCTGACGCAAATCTGAAGGTCTGGCAAACCCGAGCTGGGCACTGTGTTCATTGCATGCACGCTTGAAAATCTTTGCGAACATGATTGCAGACACATGCTAGCCTCAAAACTCGGAGTTGCCGTTAAAATTACATTGATATTCAGCGCCCTCCCCTGAGCCCGGTACTGGAAAGCCAATTTGCTTATTAGATCCTACCTTTTGTTGCATTAAAATTGCTGGCAGACAGCTTGCTGGAAGTGGGTACTGCGTCCCTGTGAAATTAGTGAAATCCACATCCAGGGACTTTGGCTCCACTACCATTCAACCAGTATCACGCGAGTACCGATCGCCAGCAACGCCCACTAGTGGCTGTACTGGCACTCAAAAGTCAGGTGTGACGAGGTCGAGGTTAAGCTTTGAAAAAAGCCATTCGCGGAGTAACACCGCCCTGTAGAGATTAATGTGAACTATAGAATAGTAATGGATTGCTGAACCATCGGTGCTGTCGCTGGGTTCCCGTAATGCCAACGGGAAATTTGGTGTACCTTGTTTTTCACGGTAGCTTCGGGCGATTGTGCCCCTTTGCGTTTGGCTTTCCAAGCCCTTCTTCTGCGAGGGCAGCACCGGCATGGCATATGCCGCATGTGCCTTCTAGATGGGCAACAATTCGATTTTGAATGGGGACAAGCGATAGTTGCAAGATGTGGCGCTTCCATGACTGCTGTTTTCAGATGCGCAACTTGCACCACTGCCAGTTCGGTGACGTCACCCAGGCGCGACAGATTCCGTGCTCATTGCGTACACCTCTGGGGCAATTACAACGCACACATTCCCAGTGCCCTGTTCGGATGGAGCCCCAAGTCCTTGGGGACCCCAAGACCTCGCAACAATGGTCCTGGGCCCATGCCTAAGAGATCGCCCGTGAGAATGTGCATGGAGCGATTTGGAGCGGATGGCAACCAAGCCGAGGTTGTGCGCAGATATCTACCTTGTCGTTCACGAACGAGTCCGTGCAGAAAGCACGATTATCCCTGGCCACAGTGGTCATCTACGCCGCCAAGACGACATTGGCAGTGCACTCCCATCATTGAGCGAAACTTGGTTGCATTGGGCAGTGCTGAAGCGGATCCGCAGGCCAATGCTGTGAACTATTCAGCTGACGTGTCGTCCATCAGGTCTGTGCCATGGTTGGGCGCCTGACTGTTGACAGGTTGGGTGGAGTCAATGCGATGATACGGCTGACGTGCCGAGATGTGTTCTGGGAACAAGAGGTGGTAGCTGCCAGCACCAACAATAGTAGACGGCTGCCTTTTGCGCCGATAGAGCCACATTCGTCTCCGGAAATGGCCTCCATGAATATGCATTGGACCGAGATGGCATTGCTGTCGTTCCAATCGAGGCCAAGTCCCGCCTGTGTGAGACCCCTTCATCTCGTTGAGGCGCTGTGACGGGCATTGAGCAATTTGCACCCTGCGCAGTCAGCAGGCACAATTCTTGATAGTGCGCGGCTGTCCACATATCCACTGTACTCGAATTTCAATCAGACCTCGCACGTCGCTCCGTACAGTGCACGGCATTTTCCAGTCTAGTGAATTCATGAACAGTGGACAGTTGTTATCGTACAATTTGCAGGTATGATGGTCCTGCACATTTAATTTTCCCCGCCAGAGCCGTACACAACAATAGCTACACGGCGACCAATAATGTCCTTCAGTTGGTTGTATCCAATTGCCACCCACGAATGGCCTGCCCATTGGCTCGACATTTTCTGCCTCTCTCTGCATTTCCGAGCATTCTTCATCTCCGACCAAACTTAATATGCGTCAAAGAATGGCATCGCTACCACAATAAGGAAGACAAATGTTCACCCGAGAGCTGAACCGGGCTCTGCTAGATTTCATTGATTGCCTTCAAATTCCATCATAACGGATTCTTATTGGAATCAAACAATTTAACAACTTTTTGTTGTCCTTACGCATGGCTTGGGCCGTGCCCCTCTCTGGTTTACCCTATGCCATTCTCGTGGGGGAATATGAAGCCTTGTGTCTGCGATTGAACGAACGGATTGGATCTAAGTCCATTTCCACAATTTCTGCCCAGTCGTTTTCTTCAGCACAACCACGTGTTCCCATACGACAATAACTGTCAGAACGGAAAGTGCTGCCTTCACTCTCCGTACCAATTACCAAAACCTGACTGGTACTGCACACAATACCCAAGATCTATATTTTGGTGCCTTCGCTTCGCAATGCTCAACCACGTCGCTCTTGAGTGAATCATGCTGAGTCGGCCACAAATCCGATCCTTCCAGATCATTATCCATTCCCATTTATCCAGAACGATGGGAGCAGGGCCTGGGATGCCCAGCATTATGACCTGATTGGACCGATCACTGGCCTGACCCCGGTCTGATGATCGAACCGATTAATCAGAAGACCGATCGAGAAGACCGAAGACATCATCCGTGACATTCAACTGATTGTCCATGGAAGACTTAGCCACACTTAACTTCCTTTGCAGAGGATGCCTCAACAGTTCACTTGGTATCTACCAGGTAAGTTGTTGTGGCTTCAAGGAAGGAGGAGATCATTGGGAGGCCACCGATCCACAACAGCTCCCCCCCCACCACCACCCACCTCCTCACCGAACCCCATGCCACTCCCACCCAAACCCCACCCCCATTTGTTGGTAAGCTTGTGCTGGATAGAAAACAAACTGGGGAAACTTGTGCACGTTGATAGCACAGCAATGACTGCGAGAGCGTTTGTGACAACGTAGGCACATTCACGACTGGCTGAATTTGGGGATGATGACCTGCAGGCGGTCTCTACAAGTATTTCACAGCAGCAAAGCTGCTTTCTGTGTGACTGAGGTTCGCCCAGATCTGGGTGTTTTCATAACTCTAAGCCTGCCATGCTCTAGAACATGGCAGTCTTAGACTTATGAAAACAGCTGTTTCAATTATTCCAGACATGCTTGGGACCCGCATTGGTGAGCGTACCTCGTTTCATCCTGCTATTGGACGGAAATCCCCAGCAATGATCACATTTCCGGAATGCTCACCTCAAGGACTTGCGCCTTGCCTTATTACAGCAGGAAAGATAAATAGTCAACTGCCGCTATGTGACCGATTCTATTTAGGAAGGCTGCAAAGCGCCACTGCTAAACTGTTCATTATGTCCATCCCATCCCAGCAGCTGCTGCAGTCCCGTGCAGGTGGTTACCACACGTCAACTTCATCAACCCATATCCAAAACAGAGTACCATTCAAGGGCTGCATTTAGACCAAATGTTTCTGCATATATTGTGTTTCAGCCTCGATCACCAACTCAAGTCTGGAACCAGTTGCACGTTCTGTCTGGCACATTGGCAAGAATCCAAGAATCCCCCTATCTTCCGCAGGTTGAGTGCCCATCTAAGAAATTTGACGCCCAGTGCCGAGTTGCCTTCAACAACCGTTCCAAGTGATCGGTTATGCTCTTGCAATACTGTAGGAATTTCTCTGCGCTATGTGCTCCGCATCCTCCAGTTGCCTGCTCCAGAAACCAATTCCCGTCTGCGGAAACTTCAGACACGTCCTCTACTCTTGCTCATCTTCCCCATCCTCACTTACCTTGAAGAACGTGTACGACAAGGTGATGTGATCAATGGTCTTCATTTTTGGATCTGTAGCAAATTCAGGGTCGATGTAGAAGAAGACGGGCATGTCCACTTCCTCCCCTGGTCGAAGCTTTTGTTCTTCAAAGCAGAAGCACTGAATTTTGTTGAAATAGTATCCAGCCTGGTTGGGTGTCACATTGTATGTTGACACACCAGTCACAGCCCTATCGCTGGTGTTGGAAGCCCGAAAGAATGCCAAAGTGCTCTGCCCGGGGCGGACCTGGGGCAACAAGGCACAGATCACTTGTCAGGGGCCATAAAGTTTGCCACTCAAACTAGAAACTTCCAAATATGCTGCCATCAATCCATAGGCTGAGCAGCACATGTGGGCACATTCCTCAGTTTCGCAAGCACAAGCTCGCTCCATACTCCATGTGGATCTAATGCACAATGTCCAGGACATACAGGAACACTCCCTCCCTGGCAAGCAGGCTAGAGCGGGATTGCCACTGGGGACCCCAATGCCAATGGATTTCTCTTCAAGACACCCTGCCTGTGCCAAATTCCACAGAGTGACCAGGACAACAGCTCTGCAGGACTGATCGGGACAAGCAAAATGCATCCTCACATGCAAGAGCCACAACGCATCACAGTTAACAAGCACAGCACAGCACAGCACAACGTCCCCTGCCCTTGCCCATCCATCAGCCGTCTCATCACCTCCCCAATGTGTCGTCACACGCCCAAGGTGCGCCAACACAACACGGCATCACTTCGATCCCCATATCAATTCTGCATCAGTCCCGCATCATGGACAAGAGCCTGTCAACAATTCTAATAGAGTTCACCTGATTCCATCCACTACGTGTTTCGACCTAACCTTAGGTCCTGGCCAACCCTCCATCGACGAAGCTAGCGCAGGATTCCTTAGATTTTCTGGGCACTCGATTCTCGCCAGTGTCTTCGTTAGATCGCGACGCCCATCGCTCGAATCATTCACTTTTGCGCTTCGAAGACAGTCCCCAGGCTCAGAAAACTGCGCCTCGGTACGCATCCCCAACCTCGAAACGCCCAAGTCACGCCCAAGTCGCGCCTCCGCCACGCACCTTCACGCTCCTCTGCGTGGGCTCGAACTTCCAGGGCATCCCGTCCACCACGCTCGCGGCGAACGACACGGTCAGCAGCTGGGCCGCCGCTGCCGCCTCCACCACGGCGTCCGGGTTCTCCCTCCGTGCCCTCAGCTTCTCCTCCACCGTCTGCCCCACCCGCACGGTGCCCCCGAAGCCCGTGGCCTGGCAGAACATCCGGTACAGCGGCACCGATAGGTAGGTCGCCCCCACCATGCCCACCACAAGGGTCACCAAGTACAGCCCCAAATCTCGATTCCTCTTTTGAGTTTGGCGGCCTTTGGACAGCAAATCGGGCCGCCCGGATGCTGCCTGCCCGGTCGCGGTGGACAATCGCCTGGCCAGGCTGATGCCGTGAGCGTCCACGGATCGGGCGATGCATCCTGAATGCGAAAAGTTGGGCAAGGTGATGGGGAGGGCGTTGCTCGCTACTAGAAAGTCTCCGGCACACCGCCTGGCGTCGCTGGCAGCCGCGCGCGCCCCCTGGCGCAGGAGGGAGGCGAGGGGGAACATGCCCGGGCCTGGTGCGACGTCCCGGGGCAGGAAGCACGGGGGGTGCGGCGCGGCCAGGGAATGGCGCCGGGCGGGTGGCCTTAAGTACATGGACTGCACTGACAGGGACTTCGGCGACTGTGGTGTCGATTACGTGACGCTGACGAAGGCAGGCAGGATCGAGGGGTGGCGATCCCTGAATGGGAATTGTACGAAATAATATTACTGCCTGCTCCAAATCGGTGACTGCTTGCACCAAGTCACGTGCACACTTTGTCCTAACCTCAGTTTTAGGGTTAGGTTTAGTTCAGGGTGAGTTTTAGGGTTAGGGTTAGGGTTAGGACAGGTTTAGGTTTAGGTTTTAGAGTTTAGGTTTTAGGTTAGGTCAGTTTTGACGGAGTTGGACATGTTGTGCATGTGACTTGGTGCAAGCAGTCACCGTTTTCGTCCAAGCAGTCACCGATTTGATGCAGGGAGTAATTTTATGCCGAATTGTACGCTCGGGTCCACGGCAACGGTTTACAGCCGAGGCAAAAGGACAACAGGCGTTCTGTCCTTTATGTTCAGTCCGTTCATCAACGTCCTGAATGCAATTCCTAGTGCTTCATCATCTTTTCATGCATTCAGTTATTAACAACACTCAATCAGTTCTAGCTGCAACAACGCAAGCACACGATCAAACCAATATGCGCTCGGCCCTGACTAGGAATGATTACAAATGGGCGGCCAAGTTTTTTGGGCGGCGCTAATTACGTGGCGAATTTGGATTTCGGCCTTTGTGCGCACAGGAATGTAGCAAGACGACGTTGAGAATTTAGAATACGGGGTTGGGGGCATTGCACATTTGAGCTCTCTTCACGTGCACTTTTGTTTCAGTATCCTTCGCCCTGGACAACTTTGGTCCGCCCAAATCTGGTGGGTTGCAGTTCTGGTATCAATCCAGATCAGCACCAGTAAATCATTTCTTCCGTCCCCATGGCCCTGACTAACAAATCTAGAGCCACCCCACCTATCATGGCAACCTGGTGTCTTTTAGAGTCCAAAAGATTATGAGGGAATGATTCTGGATGCTGCGATGGTGTGCTGCCAAATGGACAGCGTAAATGAACTGAACTGCATAACTGCAGAAAGAATTAGCAGCTGCAATTTCTGTTTTCAGGACTATACAGTTGCAGTACAAAGCAGGTTGACACCATTGCTTGACGGTATGCAGTCGGGATGAGCAGCATTCGTATTACAAATGACCTTCACCCCTCCCCAAGCCACCCTGCCAATCTGTCCTGACGAGTGTGAATGTCTACCTTCCCTGAGCCCAGGGACCCCATCGCCAACAGTCTGCAGCCCAAGAACCAGAAACCCCAAACCCCATATGCCCAGACCAGCTGGCAATGCACGAGGCATATACAAAATGCCGTGGGTCAGGACTCTTGACTCGTACAATATGTTAGCCTTTCGGGCCAATAATCACCACCACTGAGGCCAGAGATTACATCTTGTGCCAACACCACTGTCGAGCGCCAAGTGGCATTCAGCGCGCAAAACATCTGGTGCCTTGGTGCACACAACCACATCATGAACAAATTGAATGAATGTGTGAGGAACAGGCTGCCCAACGCTGACACACTAGGCAAAGCCTTCACTCGCTGTGAGGTTCGTTGCCACAAATACGTCAAAAATAATCTTAGTGCAGCCCCCGCAGCAGATTGCAGGGCTCAATTTTCCATCGGAACAGGTTCACCTTGGCAGGACAGCAATTTCTCAGCTTCTCCCACATTTCCACTGCCCGAAAGTGGTTCATTATTTGCAGCACCCATCGTGAATGCATCATTTGCATGCGCCCCATTCGTTTTTGATGGTGAGGATGGATTTCGCCCATCTTTTCCTGATGGTGGGCTCAACTGGAGCCGTGTGATAAGGTCACGCAAGTCATCCACAGTTTGCCCTTCGTCGCTCCCATTGATGTTGCCAGTCTTTGGCTGGCCCGCTGCTTCTTTGTCCTGAGAAAACAACCCAACAATGACTCAGGTTCCTTGTCATACTGGCAGGGCCCAACAGTCAGTAGAGCTACACTCTATCATGCAACCAGCACCAAACATCGCCTGACAGGTGCAGGGGCAGCAGTGTCTCGTGTACCCTGTCAAAGATAGCAGCAATGGATTTTCTTGTCTTGCAAATTGTATTCAAGTCTTACAACCAGGTGAAGCATTCTCTTGGTGTCCATGTCGATTTTGAAAGAGCACAAGAACCTGTGATTTTCCTGCTCAGCAAGGAGCAAGCAATCCTGCAGTCAACTTTCTCCAGCAATGGGCTATTGCAACAGCTCCTTCTCAGTCTCCATACATTCACACTGCTTGCAGAACAGCAAACACAAAGTGCACGAAGTTCACAGCAGGTGAACAATGGCATAGGAGACCGTCACATGGGAGTAAGCAAATGACCTCCAGTTTGCGGCATGATTTGTGTATTCCACTCCACGGCAGGGAAGGCAGCCTATGTACTGTCCTCCATATCATCTCTGCTGAAGGTGAGCTTGACAGCTGGACCACATGACAGACAGCAACACGGCCACCACCTACTGCAGGGCCATTTGGGCAGCTTGAGGCACCTTCTGTGTGCCAATTAGACTTTAGCTGCCAAGAGCCCTTCGCACAGCAGATAGGCACGTGTGGTGCCATGGTTTCGCACGAACGAGTAAGTTGGATGCTGCTGTACACATCATCGTCTCTCAAGTGCAACTGTCTTGTTGACAAGTCTTTTGACAGAAGTATACAACAGAACTAAAAAGCACGGGCCCCACCTTTTGAGCTTTCCGTCGTTGCCTCTTCCTCAAATTCTTCTTAGAGCTTGCTGTTGCATCTGGCTTCTTCTCCTGACCTTCACTTTTCTGCTGCTGTGCCCTTCCACCCTCAGTTGCATCCCACTTTTGAATGCGAGTAGCCTGAGGCGTACAAACAAGAGTTGGCACCATGGGATTTGGCCTGTCAATGAGAGGGGCCGGGAAACATAGAGCAACATGGAAAGGGAGAATGGCACCTAACATGCACTGCTCGCCTTAACTATAGCACCTCCAGCACAGATACTGGCTCTATCATTCAGCAGTAAATTTTAGGCACCTGAGGATGGAGATGAGGAATTTGAAAATAGGGCTAACAGTCCAAAAACCATGGGCTGACATGAAGCACAGCCAAGCAATATATGCACACCAAATGGCACGGGGCGCACATGCTATGGGCCTGCATTTCTGTCAGCTGAGGGTCAGATATTGCCTAACTGCAAATATTCCAATACCAGGGCCAAAACCAGCCGCATGGCTGTGCATGTCTGTACATCAGTGCAGCAGCAAATTCTACCACAGTCCAATTGCCGATGTGCTTCAAACATTCTCCACCATGTGGTCATTCCCACACAAGCACAGTTTATCCTTGGTTGCCTGTGGTCATGTGGGCATCCAGACTATGGTTTGCCCCACAATGGTTCCTTCATCTTTGTGGGTGCCTGGTGGATGATGATTTGTGAATGTCAGCACTTGCATTCAGGGGAATTGTGCCGCACCTTCGACATGGGTAGCCGCCAAAGCTTTCGAGTCTGCTTGGGTGCATCCTGCTTGCGATCCTCAGTGGTGGCCATGCGGAACATGAGATGAATGGCAGGTGCTTCCTTTGACTTGATGAATGGAGGACCACGATGCCATTCATACATCCCGATGTAGCTGGGATCAGGGGGAGTATTGGTACCTGCAACATGCCATCTGAGCCATGCAGCAGATTGTACAAGAATTGTGGTTTGGTCGACAACAATCGACACGTCTGCCACCAACAGACAGTGGCTGGAGAACACCAATGGTACCATCCTCAACTCACTGTGTGACTTGCACCAGAGTTGGCTACACTACGACCACAGCCCAGGTCTAGATGCAGCAAAGAAGAATATGCAGCACAGTACATGAACAGACACAGTATCCTCCCTGACGCAAGGCACTCAACTCTCCCTTACCACTGGTTTCGCCTTTTGAATCATCAGTGTCCATTTTTGATCCATCAGTCTCTGCAATCACACTTTCCGACTGTGGCCTTAGGCCTGTAGATGCAGCTGCTTGGCCTTGAGGCTCAGTGGGTTGGCAGCTAGCACCTGCTTTTGGCACTGACACAGCCGTGCCCATCCCCAAAATAGCATGCATTGCACTGCCACCGTCGCCAAAGACAATATTGCCTGCACCATGCAAAGCAGTCTGAAGTCACACTTCGCTTTGTGAAGCAACGCAGCTGCAAGATTCAAATTGGGCAACACAGTGCCCCACGAGGCCAGGACACTAGCCCAAGAGCTTCTCCAAGACACAGGCAGCCAAATGAGTGATTGGTGTTGGTTTGGGGCTGACATGGATTGTGGAGTAAGGCTGCTAGATCTCCAACATGGAAAAAGGCAAGCAGTCACAATCTAAGCCTGCAACAGACCTACCTGTGTTGTGTGTGCCATGCTGCACTCTGGCTGTTGAATAGCAGTCATAGCCAACCTTACCGCGCTAAAATTGCCAGCAAGCTCCGTTGTCTTAGAAACTCAGAGAAATGGAGTATGCCACACAAAAAGGGAGAATGGCAGCCTGGCACACAGGAACCCAAAAGGCTGCAGCTCAACAAAACCCTGCGACCTATTCAAAAGAGGAAGGGTGGTGGGGGGGGGGCTACTCACAAGAGGAATCGTTGATCCATTCCACATACTTCGGTCCGTAGTCTGTAAAGTACCGGAGTACATCTTTTGAATTCATGAGATCTACCCCATACATGTGGACAGTGTCAAGTCTTCGAGGAAAGCTTGGATCTGCATCGATTCGGCCCTCGAGCAGCAGACCTGAAAATGGCAAAAGGCTGAGGATCAGTGTGCTACAGGGTAAGCACAGTGCACCTGGCCCGCAGCGATGGACAGTCTTAAGCCTTGCAACTGAAACAAATGTATAATTCTGTGGACACCTCTTCAAACGAAATGCAAACAGGAAACAAAGGAGGGCTGACAGAAAATATTTGCAACAAAAACCTTAGCTGCAGAATTTGTGACAGCCTGAGGGGACCTCTCCACCCATGAAGTCCAACAATTTCAAACCTCCAGAAGGGGGATGGGTGAACAACACATAGGGTGCAAGACCACAATATCCTGAAATCGAGTACACTGTGTGTCCGATCACAAATTTTCTGGTGTTCAGTGGTGTGCCGCCAACAGGAATGATTTCGCAGCCCACGACACATACGTTCAGGGAAAGGCCTGTTGATGAGCTTGAGCTTCTTTAATGCCGGTTGCATGTCTTGCACCGGCCCAAATTTTTCAGCTCTTCTTTTCCGGGCCTCTAGCTCCTCAGCGCTGATTTGCACCTGGGAGGACATTGAGCAGTATGTCAACTGCAGCACACAGAGTGCAGTACCCAGTGAGGAGTAAAAGAGCACAAGCACAAGGCAGTCTTGTGGAAGCACAGTGCCCTTTGTTGAACCACAAACTCTCATTTTCTGTCCCTGTCGTGGCTGCTTCCCCACCAAATATTCAACAGCACCGCACGCACACACAGCTTAAAATGCTGCAAGCAACAGCTTCACTATTCCAATCTGGAAGCAAAGGACCAATGACGGCAAAGGTCTGTAATGACATCGCACCTGAGAAGCGTTGGCACCGCCACGCGCCCCTGCAGGCCAGTTTTTGCCCTTGTTTCCTTTTTCTTTCTTTTGCTTCTGGTTTCCTGTTTTGTTCTTTTTCTTTGTGTCGGAGCGTTTGGCGGGATCGACATATTCAGTGCCGAACCGCTGAGCCCTGCACAAGAAATGGCCCCAACCCCAAACCTGAGACTTCGGGAGCGTCTCAAGTCCCTCGTTCAGACAGGTACCAACAGCAGCAGCACGCCGCTTGCAGCAACCAAAGGGGAAATTTGCTCATGGGGGTGACTGACCTCATTAGTCAACCAAAACACCCCCGCAGACGCCTGACCGGCAATACATACTCCCTTCGACACGGCCCAACGATCTTTCAACAACCCGCCTGCCCATCCCAACCAGAGCGCACCGTCCAAACGCCGCCCACGGCATCCCGGCAGCAGCAAATGCCGCCGGTGCGCCCAAACATCCAACCCAACCCCCACAAACAGCGGAACTACACCCGCTGCGCCCCGCGCAGCCGACGGCCTCCCGCTTCGGTGGCAGGCCAAACGCCTCGCCCCCCGACGCCCCATCCCTTCTCCAGGCGGCACCGAACGCCCTTCCGCGGCCGATGGCACTCCGGGCGCACCTGCGCCTGTGTTTCTCTCGCTCCTTTTCCATCTGTGGGTCCTCCCCCCCCACAGCCTCCCGCCCCGCGCCCATGTCCACGTCGCCGGAGGCGTCCATGGCCGCCACGCGCCGCACGCCAAACCCTCCGCGATCCACCGCGCTGCGGCAAGGGGCCTTGTCGCCTGTGATTGGAGCGAATAAACGCGGGGCGAAAATGCGTCATGACGACCCGTCACCATCCCAGTAATTGCCGACTGCTGCGGGCTCCCCCCACGTCCAGGGCGCCGCCGCCCGGATTGGTCCGCATCCACCCGGTTCACACGCTGCCTCGAGTCTTACTGCGCAGCTGGTTGACACCTGTCTCCCCAGGGAATGTTGGATTTGGGGGCACATCAAAAACATTGGGACGAGTAAGAGAATCACGTTGTCCTGAGCAAGTGATTGTGAGTGGCCCAGAACGTACCCTTGGACGATCAGTGGGGATCAGGGCTGACGTTGGGACGCGGGACAGACTGTTTATGCGGGATCTTTGGACGTGACTCTTTGTGTTAAGCTTGCTCCGGACCCGTGCTTGTCTCTCCACCGAGCATGTCGCACACAGCGACTTCCGCTTTCTTGTGGACGCTCTGGACCCGGAGTACGCCCACCTTGTCACAGCCGCCCGAGATTTCTCCACACCTCCCTGTTGAGCGGAGTAGCACTTAACGGAGCGGACTGGCTCTTCCTTGCCCCTGGCCAGGTGCTGGGTAGAGCGGTGGGACATCCACCAGAGGCAGCCAGCTCAATCCCCGGTTTAGCCATCCTCTCTTCCTATCCGCCCTTCAAAACTCCGTCGACAGCCGCCAGCCGCAATCGATTGTCTTCAGCGTTTGCGACCGCGCATTAGAATATCACCCCTTGGCGTTGACGTCAACGACAGACGGCGGCAGCGACAATTTGCTTTCACGATAAGTCACGAATCCAAACGTTCCGCGGATGTCCAGCGTTTCACAGCGCGTGCGCATCCCCTGTGCTCATCCCGAGTTCACACCCGAGACGCTTCTGAGGGCCTCAACGTCTGGGCTGACACCGCGACCGTGTCCAGGGAACTCGCAGAGCTGGCAGACAGCGTCGGAGTTTCATTGGGGCTCGGTCATTTTCGCGGACACTTTCAGTATATACTGAAAGTACAGAGGCTCCATATTTATGTACTCTATACTTATAAGTACATTGGCTATATACCGAAAGTATATGGGAAACATATGTGTTTCCTGGAGGCGTCGAGACGGGCCCAAGGCGCTGGAAAACTTCCGCGACGTCCCCATTCCCTTGCGGGGCTCCGGCTGTGGCAAGAGCTGGACTCTGAGCAGGCTTCGTTGAGGCGTTAGATTCGTGTAAATCACAGTGGTCGCCCCCTAATTGCCCGAAAGGCTGCTTTCTGCGGCTGCAGGCCATGGCGCCGATCCAATTTGGTTGCAATCACAGTTTGCCGATGTCGATCGCGATTTGAATTTAGCGCGGGCAAATGCGCAGCTACATAACTTGCGCAACTAAATACTTCAAGTAAACAACTAAATCCCGCGATAAATTCCGCAGGTATAAACACTTATATCTGCGGGAAATACTTCCGCAATCGCAGCACCCCTCACTGATTTGCTGCAGTCATCGTCCTCCGCGCATTCTGACTTGCCGGATGCATGTGGCACACTAGCAAAAATCACATCAGTATACACTAGTGCATACGTGTATATTAGTTTCCACATATATGGGCGACAATTGCTCGAATCCATTGCAGCCGCTCCACCAACGCGATACATATCTCTTGCGGCTTTGCTTTTTAATAATTGTCGGGAATCTATACAGAATGACCGCACATGATGTGCAGCACACTCTGGCGGCGGAGTTCCCTGTCAATCGGCAGCCTCCATGTGACACCAAGGAGGGCAGCTGTCCACGAAACGAATCCGCGATGGAGTCGCGAAGCAGGTGGTCCCCAAGGCCCGCAGAGCTGGGCAGGGACGCGGGGAAGACTCTGTCGCCAAAATGTGCGCGCGCATCCAAACGACGTAAGGGAAGCAGAATGGCGTAAATTGCCACAATTTGCCGGGGTCTACCGCCTTTTTAAATGTCGCGTTTATACACACGATTGTCAGTACATTTTTGCCGTGTTCCTATTAAGCAGGGGGGAATCCAATATTTTGAATGTCTAGCATGATGTGGCCGCCATGTCCAGGATATGCATGTCCAGGCGTAGCTGGACATGGACGCTGTGCATCCGGATATGTGCGCCCACATTGTGGAATATGATGAGGATATGGGCTTGGACGTGGCCATACCCAAGGACGTGCAATTTTGCTCCGACGAGCGGATGGAGAGCGACTGATTGCTGCACAGCGTCGTTGCCGTTTGCGAGGGGTGCGTAAATACGATGCCGTGGGTGCAAATAGCAAACCTGTTGGGGGGCGATTCCTTTCCTGGAACTTGCCAGTAGAGTCCGCAGCATGGCATCAGGAGTGTGCCAAACTGCTGGACATGACGTGACAAAACGAAAAGAACACGCTCATTCTTGTACCATGAGGTCTTAGGTAGAGTATGTACAGATGCAGCCTTTTTTGTCTCATACTTTCACATCATTTTAGAAAAATTCTTGGATGCATTGTTGTTGAGCGTTTTCACATCGGATCACCAGTTTCTGTAACTTGCGTTGAGGACATTTGTTTCATCCCGTGATGGAAACGATGCACCCTTTGTGGTGCTTTGTTGTTTCAGGGGATGTGTTTCCTACAAGTGTGTGCAGAACGGGGCGCTAGGGAAAAAAGGGCCAAATAACGCGTGTTCAAACGTGTACAAAGTTTACGGTTTTGTCTTATTTTGTGTTCTTAGCGTCCAGGACTTTGAAGAGTTGTGTTTTATATGTGCTCGAAAAAGTGTTATTTGGTCCTTTTTCTGCTAGTGGGGTTATTGAGATCCAATCCCACATCGAAAGCTTCAGACGGCATGCAACGCAGTATCAGAAGATATTTTAACGCCACCTATAAAGCGAAGAAATACAACAAGTTCAAAGTCTTCCATGCAGCGACTGTGGGCAAAACACCGTGCAATTGTTTTGCCGGCTGAACCCGTTTCATCTGCAGACAGCAATGAATATCAAATATTTTTTGCGGCATCCATACCGCAGAAATGTTCATTTCCAGGATGTCCAAAACCCTATTGACGTCCGTTACAATTAAATATCTATTCTCCACATCAATTTCATGTAAGAACTACCCCAAAACATGCATCCCCTCTTAGTGTCACATTTGCTCCGAATCAGTAGCGTACAGCAAAATCCACAGTTTACGCAACTCTTCATCGGAAATATACGGCACGGTCTTATTCAAAGAGCCCTCTCTTGCATTCCACATGTCCGGTACACTCGATCCACAGTCCCAAGATCCACTACTGAAGGCGCCCACGGCTTTCGAGTCAGTTGGGCTTCTCTGTAATTGCTCTGCCCTACGTGCTGCGTACCGTTTCGTCTCCACACCTGCCCGTCCTCGCACCATCAGATTGGGAGCGCTCCTTGTCCCAGAATCTAGGTACTGACGCACGGGCATAATATGTGAGTCCGTGTACGAGAAAGGCGGGCAGACACACGCATGAGGTCCCCCGGTGGCGGGCTGCACGTGGCACATCCTCTGCCCCATGCTGCTGGGCACGTCAATGCACACGCGTTGAGAACCGCTGGTGCGGACGCCCTCCATGCACAGCTGATCTGGACCCAACATCTCTGTTCTGCCAGGTGGCAAAGGGGGATCTCTGAGAGTTAGCACGTCACGCCCAACGTGAGCTTGGTGGCCGTGAGTGTGCTCAGCACCGACTCTGTCTCCGCATCCCATCAGCGCGGGATATTGGTGACGGTCCCCATCTTCGTGCTGATCGATTTTGGACGTCAGCGTCTCTGAGGCATCCGCAGGTCCAACACTTGGAGGCTCTGGCGGCGGCGTATTGGGCAGGTCCCACCCAGATTCCAGCACGTCAGAAAACCGTGCCACCTCCAGCACCGACATGTCCTCTTCACCCCTCTCCACCACGCGCTGCAGGTTCTCCGCTATCTGGGCATCTGCCACCCCCAACTCCAGCTCGGCAGGGTCCCCTCTCCCAGCGCATGGCGAACACTGAAATTCAGCGTATGGGGCGAAACGCGCTGCGGCGGTCCCAAGTGCGTGGCCCTCTTTGGCTGCTCCTGGGGCTTCCAGAGATGCCTCGCCGACGCCATCAGATGCTGTGGGTGCGCTGGCGAATGGCAATGCAGCCACCCTGAAATACTCCGCCGATGGTGCCGCGGCTTCTGCGGGAGGTGGCGACGGGGCCGAGGCATCTTTGCGTTTGCCGTCCGTCACGTTCCGCACACGTTGTTGGTTTGGCGGACAACCCAGGTCCAGGTTGAGGTTGTAAAACAAGCGAAAGGGCTTGGGACTTGAGAGGAATTCGTGCACGTCCCGCACCTGGCAACAGATCTGAAAGGATAGGGTATCGTGCAACCCGCTAAAGGGTCCCCCAGAACACTAAACGATAATTTAATGTACTGATGTATCAACGTATTAATGTGCTAACGAATTAACGTATTAATGTACTAATGTGCTAACTTTAATGTACAGGGAGCTAACTTGCCGAGCGATTTACTCAATGTATTTCAGCCACAGGTTCGTTTCCGCTGCAGCGTTCGCGATTGCCAAAATTCGATATGTAAATCACTGCAACTAAATTTCGTGATCGATTTATGGAAATGGATTTTCCCTCAGTTCGCGCCCGGGGGGTGGGGGGCCTCCACCCACATTACTGGAGGCCACTGGACCATTTTGGTAAAGTGCTGCGATGCATGGGGGCTAATGGTGCTTGTGACGTCTGTAAAACTTGTGCCACACTTTACCTTCAAGTTCGGGTCGGTGTCCGCGATGCTCCAGCTCGCCGGGCGCATCTCTGCGCTGGGCGCCAAATCCACAGGCTGAAGCCAAACCCGTTGCCAAATGCCGGGATGTGACTCTAAGCGCAAGGTACGGACCAGCCGTGCCAACACCTCCACCACGGTTTCGGACAATCTGCAGCAAAAACCATGCACAACCAATCGCCGCCGCTGTCATGCACCCTCCGCAGGC